TACTTGCTGGCAGTAGGACTGTTATCGAACCGAACCGAACCGAGCTTAAGGCGTTCGAGCTCGAGTTCGACTAATTTTCAAACATGTTCGTGTTCGTTCGTTTAGTAAATGATTCATGTTCGTTCGTTTATTGGTTCGACATGTTCGTGTATGTTTGTTTATTAAGTCCAACTTGTTCGTGAACTGTTTGAATTGTTTGAATGGTTCGACATGTTCGTGTTCTTGTTTTTTAATTTTTCTTTTTCTTATTTTAATGCCATACAAGTTATTTTATTTAATATTTAATATATTCATAGGGATTAAATGCATCCGCTTTTAAAGTGAGGACGTGAGACCTCATCTCTTCCGTTCACTGCTCATCTACTATAACGTTCAGGATTTATTTATTACATTAGTTAAGTTTGGCGGTTTCATTTAGATACTCGTTCCAGTTTTTTCATTTGTCATCTGACATAATTCTCTTGCTTTTTTTGCACTTGCTCCCCTCCATTTCCGCGCCTGCTTGACTTCGATTTTTATTTTCGTTTTCGTCTCAATTTTTGTTTCGATTTTCATCTCAAGTTAGGTTTGTCATCTGAATCGGTAAGTTTTTTTGCTTTTGTTTGTTCTCTTTTTCGATTTTAGGTTTTCCTTTTTTCATTTACTAGATTAAATTAATATGTTTCGGTTATTTTGTATGATCTCTGTTTTTTTTTTTGAATTAATCCATGTATAAAGTATATATTATCCATATTTTAGGGTCATATTTTTTGTTGTCTGAGTTGCAAGGTTATTTGTGTATAGTTGTAATGTTAGTTGTATTTAATTGCTAGGTTAGTTGTCTGATGTTGCTATGTTAATTGTCTGAGTTGCTAGGTTATACGTCTGATGTTGCTAGGTTAGTTGTCTGTTGTTGCTATGTTAGTTTTATCTTGTTGCTAGGTTAGTTCTATCTTGTTGCTAAGTTAGTTGTATGTTGTTGCTATGTTAGTTGTCTGTTGTTGCTAGGTTAGTTCAATGTAGTTGCTAGTTTATTTCAATGTAGTTGCAAGGTTGTTAGGTTAGTTATGTCTAGTTGATAGGATAGTTTTTTGATGTTGCTAAGTTAGTTGGGCTTTTCTACAGTCAGGTACCCTTGTACTTTGGCTTGTACTTACCTAACAACAGGTACCATTTAAATGAACGCCATGTGTCCTTTTCTTAATAAATAAAAAAATAAATCGAAAAAA